ATTTTTAATGAAAGGTTTAACTTTAAGTGTAAATGGCCTACAACATAACAGAGTGAACTAATGCTTACGTATTTTACCTATAAATCAACCGGAAGTTCACTTAATTTTCATACGCTCACTGCAAAAAAGTCAAAGATGGAATCTGGCTGCTTTCTATGTGCAACACTTTTTATTTAATGCCATTTCAATAAACAGAAGCTTTACACAAAAACCTCCACAGAAAATATCAGGTCAGTCAGTGGAGTATACTTTTGTCTTCATCAACAAAATAGCAAAATCTAAACTTATCAACACTGATGAAATCATAACCTTGAAACCAATAACATTGACATATTCAATAAGGAGTACCTGACTGAGTAACCCTGTCATGACCCTGAGTTATTGTTGCTTTTAGTGGACGTACAGGAAACCATCAAATACTTGCAAATACTTGCCTATAACCTGAAGTTATAGGCAAGTATTTGATTCTGTAAGTTGAGTCCGCCCCTTACCCCTCGTGGCCTCCACACTGGTCAGTGGGGATGCCCTTCACATTAGAGTCTTGGGAGGGCAGATCTATCCTAGACTTTGACATGAAAGTCAAGATTTGCATACAACCTCAACTGCCCATATTTTTCTAATTCTACTAATTATTCCAACATGCGAGTCGAGTCTGAACCTGACCCCTCATGGCCTCCATACCGGCCAGTGGGATTGCCCTTCACATTAAGAGTCTTGGGAGGGCAAAACTATCCTTGACTTTAAAATGAAACCTCAACTGCCCATATTTCTTGGTCTACTCAATATTGCATCATGTACGTCAAGTCTGACCTTTACCCCTCACGGCCTACTCATTATTCCAATATAATACGTTTACTGGAGGGTAACTTCCCGTTATCATATACTCAATTTAAACTGACAAGGTTAATTACGGCCAATTCTATAATTAAATAAATAATTGGAAAAACAAATACATATTGAACCAATCGGAATTGAAGGTTGGATGGTGAGAGTCTGAAGTTTAAATAGATGAATATAATGGATTGGATATAAAGTTTCGACTTGACTCTACTTTAGGAAATTGGTTCCCTCCTCTAATCTTAGCATGTGTGTAACAAGCTCACTGTGGAAAAATGCTGTGAATTATGTCATCACCCGAGTGGCAATCAATAAATCAAGATAAACCTGGGTTGGAAAGAAAAACTCCTCTTCAGGTCTCAGAGGTTACTAAATTACACAGTGTGAAACATTCTAAAACCTTCATAAATGTACTGAAAACAATGCAGTGATGAACTTTTAACATGCTTTAAGTCAAAGTTAATCAGTCGCTATCCCTTCAACGTTTAGTCCATATGACCTCTCGCCGAGTGGGTACTTTGTAGTTGATGCACATTCTTCTAGTTCTTTTGAGAAATTTCCAGTCAGCTTGGTGGATTTCATTTCCTTTAAATTCCTGCAAAAGAAAAACAGGGAGATCTGAAGGATAATCTACAAATAAATCCTGGCATGGAAGTTTTTATTGTAAGTGGACCTGACACATATTGGTACGTATGCTAACATACATGAAGAACGGTGTCCATGTATAAACTATTACAACAGCAAAACGTTTCCCAGCACACTCACCAGCCAGCATGCAAAAGAAAAAAACAAAACACCTGTCTAACCACTACGGTTAATAACAGAGGTTTTAGATTCACATATTCTGCAGAAGACGTGTAAGCCGCACTGCCTGGTCAAGGCACCTCTATGTAGTGCGGTCCTAACTCTAACCTATGAGAGTCTCCATCTTGGAGCACATGTAGCAAAAAGATAAAAGTGGGTGCAGGTTCGCCAGGAGGCAGCCCAACCTCCTTAGGTACAGGGACGCATAAGAGACCCCGCACATCACAACGGCAGCCGAGACCCTCAGTGTGTGTCACTGCACCAAATCAGTCAAGCAAAACAAATGGCAAACACACTCATCAACTAGTGCCTCTTCACAACTCCTACATTTCATATTTGAAGTACTAATCAAGGGTGGTTTGCAGTTTAGCAACCACAATCTGCCCAAGAACCAACTAAAGAACCATCTAAAAAATAAAGCCAATTACTCCTGCTCAGAAGCGGATTTGTAGCATATGATTTGGGACTGCCCTGCGATTGGTTCCTTCTGGTTAAGCATTACCAAGTTCATAAGTGATAAACTTGAAATCACCCATATTTACTGTCCTGTGTATTCTGGGTTACTATGGGGATCTTGATATCTCCTCATATTTGAAGTATCTTATTACTCTACTGCTAAAAAAAACGCACTGGCAAAGGATTACTCCCCCATCATCGGTGGATTGATCAGGAGATACCCCAATATAAAATTACATATAAAAGGAAGAGGTTATCCAAACAAATTTGATGCCATCTGGCTTGATGTATCAGATGTTACCGATTTTATTGATACTTAAGTTCTCCTTCTGTATTCTTGGCTACCTTGGTGAAATAAGCGATTACCTGTTATTTCTAATCTATTCTTTGTAGCCCACATTGTTCTTTAAGATAATCTGCACATATTCTTTGAAAACTCTTGTATTTGATTGTCTTTGTCGTGTTTGATATAATGATGTTCTTTGTTGTTGTGAAATATTTGAAAACCTAATAAAACACATAAAACACTACATAGTTACATAGTATTTGAGGTTGAATAAAGACATTAGTCCATCAAGTCCAACCTATTAGGATCTCATTCTAGGAGTACCTGTACCCCTGTATATTACGGTCCCTTAAGAAATCGTCCAAAAGTTTCTTGAACAATTCCACATTATTTGCTGAAATCACCGCCTGTGGCAGTGAGTTCCAGACCCTAACTGATCTTACTGTGAAGAACCCCCTTCGCCCCTTGTGCTGGAATTTTTTTTCCACCAATTTTAGGTGGTGGCCTCTAGTTTTTGTAATGGAGTTAATTTTAAACAGTTTATCGCTAATGTTGCTACCACCATTGAACATTTTGTACATGGAAATCATATCCCCCCTTAATCTCCTCACCTCCAATGTGAACATGTTTAAATTTAGTAGCCTTGTCTCGTAGCTCTGGTCCTCCATACCCCTAATTAGTTTGGTTGCCCTCCGCTGGACTTTTTCCAACTCAAGGACATCTTTTCTTAGTACTGGTGACCAGAACTGGACCGCGTACTCCAGATGTGGCCGAACCAACGATCTATATAGAGGCAAAATTATAGACTTGTCCCTGCAATACATCCCCTTTTTAATACAGGACAAGACCCTGCTAGCTTTGTTTACAGCAGCCTGGCACTGCAAACTACCTTTCAGTTTGTGGTCTACAATGACCCCCAAATCCTTCTCCATTTCTGACTTCCCCAGCGGCATACCCATAATTGTATAACCCATTTGTTTATTTTTAATTCCAAAGTGCATTACTTTGCATTTATCGACATTAAACCTCATCTGCCACATTAATGCCCACTCCCCTATTTTATCCAGGTCCTCCTGCAATGTTATAGTGTCTATAGGAATTTCATTTAAAGGAAATACCCAACTGGTTTCTCCAGTTGACTATTCCACTTGTCCTCCAATGTTATTGTTTTTTCAGTCTCGGAAATAAAGAATGTCTCGCTCCATTGATGAGCTACAATCTCAATACAAATTAGGAAACTAGACATGAGATTGTAGTCCATCACGGGAGTGAGCTTGGAAGGGTGACTACTTTACAACACCAGCACACCCGGGGTCCACATTTGCAGATAAAGAAAATGGTGTCACAGATAATGGCAACATTTCGTAACCCTGTTTGGTCCCTTGATGTGCTAGTAACCATACAGTTTCTTCTTATTTTGCAGGGCCATCCATCCATTTAGCATCGGGGTACCCCCTTTCATAAAGGGGGCACCCAGATGCCATCACCTCCTTGATGTAGATCCTTGAGGATCTACAGCCGAGTGATACACAAATAAGATACATTGTTGTTAATAGTTGGGGTACCTGAATGTATTTTTAAGATTGAACTCCTGAGTTTAGTGTCACTTTTGGCTACAGATGAATTCTGTCATGCAGCTAATTTTAGGACATTGCTAGGGACTTCATATAACAAAGGGTTGCCTGTAATTTACCTTAAGGATGAACTCCAGGCAGATACAGTTAAAAATGGTAATTAATTCAGGCATGTATCTGTTGATAACATTTTATTTTTGATTGCAAAAGTGTGAATATCAGAATTTTACTTGATATCAGCCTGTTATAATCCACTGTAACACAGACTGGAAGATGGATCGGCATTAGTGGGGACGGGAAATGTCCTCGCTGTGTTCATTAATTCCAGTAGGGAAAAGCCAGGTCATCAGGATGGTTTTGCTTTCTGGTTTGATGGTTGTAAAGTAGTCACCGCTACAAGCTCACTCCAGTGATAGGACTACAATGTCAATACAAATTATTAAACAAGAGATTGTAGTCCATAACAGGAGTGAGCTTGGAGTGATGACTACTTTACAATACATACAGGTAGCATGGGAACAAAAGTATCCACCCTCCAGAAGGAAGGACAGTCAGCACCAATTCAGAGGATTTGAGGATCTACAGCCGAGTGATACACAAATAACATACATCGTTGTTAATAGTTAAGGAACTTGAATGCATTTTTAAGGGTAGGCAACCTTGGCACTCCAGCTGTGATAAAATCACCAATCCTATCATGCGTCTCTTGGAATCATGGATGTTGCTGTGCAATGCCTCATGGGACTTCCACAACAGCTGGAGTGCCAAAGTTGCCTACCCCTGGTATATAGGATATGATATAAACACAAAGAGCAGATACAGGTTATATAGCCATTTGTGTTGTGCATGTAGGGCTGTGTGTGATTGTCTGTGTATAGAAAAATCAGAATTTTCAGTTGTGTTTGTAGTTCTCCTTTACTTGTCCCATTTAAGTTAGAGGCAATGTTCCTGAACGGAATAGCCTGACCTATTTAAACACTTTGCTATTACTTAGAGAGGTTTTTTTTTATTCCTTACCATATGCCAGTCCTTGGAAATTCCTCTCATGACTCTGCTGCTGCTCCTGGAAACCACCAATTGTTGCTCGTGACAATGGCCAGTCCCTGGGAAATTAATTTTTCAGCCAAATTTCCTTTACCATAAATAGATACTTCTGTGACATTGTTGTCAATTATTTTAACAGGCAGAATCAACAGGTCGCAGTCCCGAATAAAATCCATGCAGTACTTGAGTGCATCTTCAGACCAATCCTTTCCGTTTTTGGGAAGAACACCGTAAAGTCTGCAGTTATAGGTTAGGGCGGGTAGACTAGCCATTTCTTTTGAGATCACTTTGAGTCTGCTGTGGTCTGAATAAGGAATAGACGTGTAAACTCCATAGTCAAGAAGATTCAGTGAAACAGAGCTCATGTTGATGCTAGCAATCTCTGCTCTGCACCACTCATCGATTCCAAAGCACCTAACCAAGCATGCAGAACCAAGCCTTATCATATGTGCAGTTAAGGGCAAGAGGTCATCTGTCAGTTTTGGAGTCAATTCGGATAATTTGTTCATTAATACAACCGAGTTCTCTAGCTGGACAGAAAAACTGAAGGGGTTCTGAAAAGCAGTAACAAATCCAGCTTGCACTTCAAGAGACTTAAGCTGAACCCTTGGTATAATAGATGGCAACATTACAGTTTCAAAATTAGAAGACACGGCATTGCTTATGTCCTGTGCAATGGGTTGGGGGGCAGTATTAAAGACCTCCATAAGCATTGCACTATTCACCAATATATCTACTTTCCAGCAGCTCTCAGCTTGCAAAAAATTAAGAAACAGGATGTCCACCTCCTTTTGCAGAATAGACTGCATTTGTGATCGAAAGAAATGTATTCCAACTCTCTCCATCCAAATCCATGTACAAGGAACAGACTGACGAGGCAATGATAGAGCTGCAGCAGAAAGGGATTTTGCACTGTGCATACTAACTACTTCATGAGCACCGTGGTCCACAAAGAACACAGACATCTCTGCGGTTCCTGGAATGATTTTCTCAACAGCTGCACGAAACCAAGTCTGCATTTTTTCAGATTTCACCAAACACACCATGCCTTCTGAAATATCTTTTGCTACAAGCTGGTTGTTGGCCTGTTTGACAACTGCCGAAATCTGCTCACCAAGTTTGGAATCTTCTGCATAGCTGGCCAAGGTAACAAAGAGAGTTCCACTTTTTGACAGGTAAACGGTTTTAACTTTTTCAATCTGATTGGGTTTCAAAGTCACATCTGGGATGGTGTCTTTTCTAACCGAGGCGGACGATTCTGGAGGAGTCTCGAAGCTTTGAAGAAACTCTGTTACAGACTTCCCTTCCAAGGTTATACTGACCTCCCACTGACTGCCATGTCTGCAAAGAAAAACACAACTGAATGGTTCCTTTGTAACTTGTTCAGAAAACATGTCCGCTGCCTTTTTACTCCATTTTCCATCTTGACATTTCTGAGCACCAGTTAGAAGAACAGAAATGCTTAACCTGGGTACATTAAAAAATCTTTCAGGGAGTTTGAAAATGGAAGGAAAATCCACTTTGGATGCATTGCCGTAATCAATAAACTCGACTTCAAAGGAATTGCTTTTCAAAATTTCTTTAATCTCCGCTCTATAAAAAGCTTTGTCCTCTGGATACTGAGCGACAACCAAAGTACCTTTCTCAAGATGGTTTACATCAATAGGTTGTAAAGACGTGTCATTTAGCTCTTCCTCTAGTTGCAATACCTGCTTCTCATTTGTAGCTAGGTGGATGTAGAACTCAGAAGGGCTGCATATGTGAGATGCATACACAAGATGAGTGGAGCCAGTTTCTAAAATCATTTGAGGAAGATCAGTTGATTTTAAAGGTTCTTTAAGACTTGGTGGACTGCAGGAATTTCCGACATGCAGTAAACTTGGCAACTTTGATGCCTGCATGGTGTCATGCAAAGGCTCCTTTTGTAAGGTTTCAGGTATAGAATTCTGAGGACTATCTAAAAGTAATCTGGAATTTAGACGTGGAATGACATTTCCATTCAAATCAGATGTAGTTGTTTTATTGTCTTTGACTTCAGAATCAGATTTCTTGCTTAGCTCAGGTAGAGGGTGTTGTTTTGCACCAACTGGAAGTGCAGTGCTGCTACTCTTTGCATTTACTGCATTCTCCGGTGGCTTTAACTCTACACCCAACATTTCTTTTATTTTACTATTCACAGAGGTATTTCCGCAAAACAATTCCATTTCCAGTTGGCCGTCATTGTCTCTGGATACAATCAAAGCGCTAAGAGGCGTGTCGAAACACTGTTCTTCAAACCAAGCTTTAGCTTCTGTGGTAAAAGTGGTTTCTTTTAAGCCAGACAGATAACATGGAATAGCTTGCATAGGTTCAAATAAAACATCCGTAGCTTCTTCAGGGATAAGCAACAGATCAGCTTTCTTTACCATATGGCTGTTCCCATAGTCTACGAAAAAGGCTAGGAAATTATCGGAGTCTACGGGAGACACCAAAGCTCTGTAAAAATGCCCATCTTCGAAATATTTTGCAATACACACTCCCTGTACATTTTTTCCTGTTTCAGTACTTGTGCGCTCACCTAACGCAGTCACCTTGCTCATTAATGCCTCAACAGTCTCTTCATTTTGTGCAAGCTGACAGTAAAATTTTCCTGTATTATATATGTAGGAAACATAAACATATTCTTTGCTTCCCACCTCAAGATCAAAACTGGAGTAACAAAATGTGTGTATATGAACAGGCGGAACTGTGCCTTCAAAGGTAAGATGTCCTTTGCTAGCTAGCCAATGGTTTGCATTACCGCAGGAGGTTTCCAGATCTACTAAATTAGAAAGGTCCTCGGAGCCACAACCTAACACAGTGATGACTGTACATTTGATGTCATCGACAGAGCCTACAAGACTCTTAAAATCCTGGCAAGCACTGGTAGACCACGTGTGATGAACACTAAAAGAAGATAATGCCTTGCTCAAGCAACATCTAAAAGCTTGACCTTCCCATTCAAGGAATTGGGGTTTAATTTCGCTAAGCTCTGAAATCAACACTCTCTCCACCCTTCCATAGTCCACAAAGATCACATCAACTTCCTTTTTGGAGATATGTTTCACAACAGAAGCTCTGAAAAACTTTCCAGTGCATGATGACCTTGCAATGCAAGCCATTTGTCCATGCAGATAACTGCCGTTTGAAGATTTATAGAAAGTCTGTATTTCATCCATCAAAGTGTCTAGCCGAGTAAGGTTGCAAGAGAGTTGGCACCAGAAAAGTCCTGGTGACCCCACATGAGAACACTTAACATACCTAACGGCCCCAGGCTTGAATGTATATTGCTTGAAGTAAATTGGAGAAATATTTGAACTTTTGTTATTTGATGCTTCACTAAAGGAAAACGTTTGTGCTTCTGATTTTGTCTTCATTGTCCATTCACGTAATGACACCTTTATATCACCTTTCGTCACACACTCCCCAACAGAATGTTTGCTGCTACTCTTTTTGTTCTTGCATTTTGTACCCTTTTCTGGCAATGGACACATTTGGTCTACGGAGCTGGAATTTAAATCAGTCTTCCAAAACTCTGCATAGCCAGCTTGCACTAACAGAGAGACAATATCAGAATTTTCAGAGCTCTCCGAAAGGCGCATTTCCACTACGTACTTGAACCTATGTTTTTTAAGAACATGGCAAAGAAGAGCTTTCCCAGCCACAATTTTTTTAAAGGCATCATTTGCGCTCTTTACCCATACATCTTCATGGGGATAGGCGTAGGCTAGAGTGCAGCACATTACCATTGCAGGCAAAGTACTGAACTTTGGCAACAAAACCTTAACATCATAGAACGGAACAGTCTCGGTATTCCCATAATCAATGAAATAAACAGAAATGTCTGGGTTAAGCACGCCAGTGATTAGAGCCCTATAATAATGGCTGTCTTTTGCATACAGGGCACAGCAAAGTTGACCAGGCTGGGGATCTTCGATCAACATTTCCATAAGCTCACATTTATTGTATCTTTCTGCAATCTCTGCCATCATCTCAACAAACTCATTTTGGCAGTGATCGGTTCTTATCCAGAAGTTTGAAGGATTCAGTACGTATTCAACATATGCCACATGGACGGAGCCCGTACCCAGTTGAAAGCACTTGTAAGAAATAACTCCTTCATTACTCATCTTTTTGGATACAAAAGCTTCAGCCAGAGCAGCGTCTGGACTTTTCTCCTCATATTCAGTTTTGACAGCATTGGGGCAGCTGTTAGGATAAAAAGGTGGAACTTGCTGGTTTGTCAAATGACAGTCAGAATTGAGTTCATATTCCTTTTCATACAACGATATCCTGAAAACTTTTTCATCGCTGCAAAACTCTTCAATGCGTGCAATGACTATATGTCCCATCAGAGCCTGCTTAAACAGAAATAACTGCATTTTTCTTGTACTCTCTACAAAGTCATTCACCCTAGATAAGGCACACGGGATGGCCAACATAGGCAAGAAGAGGAACTTGTGCTTTAACTGATGAAGATCACTGGACAGTATAGTTTCACTGCTACCAATGTCAAAAAACAAGACTTTTACATCACGGGAAGACAAAACTGTCAGAAGAATGCATCTATACCACAGTCCGTCCTTCCTCTTGGCAGCACAAAGTGCGCCATAGTGTCCATGTGTATTGCTTTCATCTGTTTCGTAGTGCGAGCACATGCTAGCAGTAAGTTTTTGCAACTCTGTTTTCCAAGACAGTATATGACAATAAAAGCGTTCTGGACTCACTGCTGAGGAAATTTTTATTTTTTCTAGGGTCCCAACAGAAATTTTGGGGCTTAGACAATCCAACATCTTTAGGAAACATGGTTGATCATCATTCAAGCTCAGAGGGGTGTCTGAAGTCAGCTTCCTCTGTTGAAGCAAGTCAGGCATTTGCTTGCCGTGGGAATTTGCCGGGAATTTGTTAATGATATCCACAAGCAGGCAGAATGTGTCCGAATCCATGTATTTTGCCACTTGTAGTTCAATGGCATAGTCAATGACTTTTGACACTTCCAAGAGAATGACTTGATGCGGTAAGAAGGTTTTGACATGTCCGTTAACTTGTTCTCCAACCAAGTTGGAGAAGAAACTTTTGGCTCTGGGGGACCATTTCTCATCCAACGGAAACACATTAGCAAAGATTCCATTCACTATTTTCGGAGGAAGCTCAAACAACTCGCCAGTAGCGGAAGCAATTTGTTCAAATGGGACTTTTACTACGTTCCCTTGATCTATGAGGACTACTTCAAACCTCTGCTTGACCTTATCCAAAATTTTCCCTCTGTGCCATGACCCAAAAGGTTTATCTTGCACTAAGCAAAACTGTCCAATATCCAGGTCTTCATTCACTTTTGGAACAAGTTGTAGCTCTATCTTTAGTACATGGTAGTCATGTTCACAGCTAGAGATGCGTTTTCCTTGAAATGTTATCAGCACATCATAAGGATTGCAATTGACACTCAAGATTGTCAAGTCCATTTTCAAATCAGGCTTTGGACATGAAGACAGGTAATACATTTCATCTGGAAAAAAATGTATATAAAGATAATTAATTCATACTTATAGTGTATAATAGAACAAAAATACATATGCGGAACATCTCTGTAATATACATACACATTTCTACTAATTTCCTGTTGTGGACTAATGACACAGTGAGGGGAATTTATCAAAACTGGAGCAGACAAAATGGGGAGCAGATTTGCACTGCCACCAATCAGCTTCTCTCTCATTTTCAAATCTTATCTGAGCAAACTGAAGAGAGGGGCTGATTGGTTGCCCTGGGCAAATGCCTTACATTCTGTCTGCTCCAGTTTGATATATTCCCCCCAGTGACTTTCCTTGACTAATAGAGTGCACAGCAGAGCTATATATTGCAAAGAGGATCAATCACTTTCCATGGTATATTTACAGGACTGAGGGCCCATTCACACCACGTCCAAATCATCTCCAGACCAGATTGTTTCCGGACCCAAAATGCATCCTAATGTATCCCCATGCTATTTCTGGCCTGTTTACACCAGGGCCGTCCGTTCCAGACCAGAAAAATACTGCATGTCTCATTTTGTCTGGTCTGGAATAAACTGGAAAGCATTGAAACGCATAAAAAAACGCAAACAAGCGCACTGGAGTGCACCCAATAGCCCATTTGAGGGCTAGTTCACACCAAGTGCAGAGCAGTTACTGAACGCATCAAAACTGCATCCAACGCATTCCAAATGGTATTTTGGACTCTAGCTCACACCAGAGCGTTCAGTTCCAGAGCATGTGGAAAAACTGTAGCATGTCCTATTTTTTTCTTGCTCTGGAACGCACTAAACCGCATGCATAAGCATCAACAGTGCATGCAAACGCCCTGGAACGCACTGAAAGCCCATTTTAGGCAAAAAAATTAAAAATGTTTTTTTTCTTTTCTTTTAAACAGCCAGAACACTTAAAAAACGCCTCAAAACACAATGCACTGCATGTGCAGAAACTCGTGCAGATCTGGTCTGCATTTGGTGTGAACAAAAACCTGAAGCTTAAATTTTTTTTTTTTTTTAAAACAGCTCCGGAAGGCAGCAAAGTCGCGGTAAAAACGTGGCAAAACGCAATGCACTGCGTTCCAGATCTGGTGCAGAAAATGGTGTGAACATGCCCTGAAGGGGAGCAAATAAGAGAACTTTACTGAGACAATACATGTGACGCACAGAAATGTGGGATGCTAAAGATTCCAGAACGTTGGGCTCTGCAAACTGTATTGGTATTATCACAGGTTGCCTTTTTTTTACATATTTTAGCAAGAATAGATTTCAGATATCACAGTTAGCAAAAAGGTAGAAGATACAAATATGAATTATGCAATCAAATCCATGGCATCCAGCCATCTCCATAGTACATAGTGTGAGATACCGGTCCAGGGGGCCGGTATATAACAGCAATCCTCAGCGAAATTGGAGAGAATAGGCGAATACAGTGGCTTTCAAAAGAGGAGAGGGAGGTGAAGGGAGAATAATAATCTCAGACCAATCTCCTTACTCCCATTCACCTCATCTACAGCCGCCTAAGTCACCACCTCGCTGATCACAATCTGCACGACCCCAGGCCGAAGGCCACTATTCCTTACTCTTGCTATTAGATCTTTCTGCTGCTTTTGACACTGTTGACTACCTGCTCCTCCTCAAAAAACTCCAGTCACTTGGGCTACAAGAATCTGCTCTCTTGTGGTTCTCCTCTTACCTATCTAAGCGCTCCTTTAGCGTCACCTACAAATCTAACTCCTCCCCTCCTCTTTCTGTAGGGGTCCCTCAAGGCTCTGTCCTTGGACCCCTCCTCTTCTCCATCTACACCTCCTCCCTTGGTCAGTTAATAACCTCAGATGGCTTCCAATACCATCTCTATGCCGATGACACTCAAATCGATTTTTCTACTCCACAACTCTCCCCCTCAGTATCCTTGCGTGTTACTAATCTACTAAATGACATATCCGTCTGGATGTCGCAACACTTCTTAAAACTCAATCTTTCAAAAACTGAGCTTTTGATATCCCCCCCCATGCAACTTCCCCCAACTTTTCCCTTGAGATTGTTAACACAACTATGCAGCCCTCCCCATGCTAAGGTCCTAGGTGTTATCCTTGACTTGGACCTCACCTTTCTTCCCCACATCCAATCACTATCCAAATCCTGCCGCCTTCACCTTCGTAACATCTCCAAAATACGCCCCTTCCTCACCAAAGAAACCGCAACACTACTCATCCACTCCCTTGTTATATCTTGTCTTGACTATTGCAACTCCCTCCTCATTGGCCTTCCACTACACGGACTCCTCCCTTCAGTCTATCATGAATGCAGCTGCTAGACTCATTCACCTAACCAACCGCTCAGTGTCTGCAACCTCCCTCTGCCAATCCCTGCACTGGCTTCCATCCTCCACCCCCTCTGCCAATCACTACACTGGCTTTCACTCACCCCAAGGATACAATTCTCCAACAACTCCGCCCCCGGCTATATCTCAAACCTTGTCTCAAAGTATCACCCTAACCGTCCGCTCCGCTCATCCCATGACCTCCTGCTCCCTCGTCAACTCCTGCCATGCTCGCCTCCAGGACTTCTCTAGAGTCATTCCCATCCTATGGAATTCTTTACCCCAACCTGTTCGTCTGTCACCCACCTTGACTGCCTTTAGGCGTTCCCTAAAGACTCATCTCTTCAGGGAAGCCTATCCCACCTCAACCTAACCACTCAACCATTACATTCTCAAACAACTCATCCCCACACAGCTACCTCCTCATGTATCACTTGCCCCTCCCTTTTAGAATGTAAACCCTCAGGGGCGGGGCCCTCCTTACCATCTCGTCTTTAATTGTATTGTGATTGTAATGTCTTCCTTATATTGTAAAGCGCTGCGCAAACTGCGCTATATAAATCCTGTATAATAATAATCTCCAGGGCATATTTTTCTTAACCACTTGAAGACCGGGGTGTTTCACCCCCTTCCTGGCCAGGCCATTTTTCAGTATTCAGCGCTGCCGTACTTTGACTGACGTTTATTCCGTCATGCAACGCTGTACTGATACGAATTTCATACCATTTTTTATACCAGGTGGTATTTAATGAGCACGGGGGGTTTTTATTTTTTACTATATAACAAAAAAATACCCTAAATTTTGAAAAAAACATGTTTCCCTATAAAATGTTATGAAACATTTATTTTCACCCCAATTTTTTGGGATAATATAAAAGACGGGCTCACGTCGGGTAAATAGACACTAAACAAGTCAACCTTTAAAAATGCGCGCGCCCGCAAAAATCGCAGAAAACGACCGCAACCAAAATTGGCCATAGGCGACACTTTAAACGTTTTTACCGTTCATCAGTTTAGTGTGATCAGTGATTGATGGCCCTAAAATTATTCCTCTCACTCCGACGTTCGCGGCGATATGTAACGTGCTGCATAATGGGCGCAATCGTCGTTTTCGTACATAGGCGCACCCCACGCATGTTTGCATGTGTATGGGGCGGGGGACTTTAAAACATTTTTTGTTATTTTTTTAAATTATTATTTGTGAATATTTTTTTACCTTCTTTATATTTTTTTTAATGCTGTAATTTTTACACAACTTTATTGCTATAATATAGGGGATTACGAAATCCCCTATGTAATAGCCAGTTAACCAAACAGGTCCTCTTTATGGAGACATCAGGGGTCTCCAAGACCTCTGATGTCACCTAGGGACCCCCACAGAAGCTGATGAAGCAGAGATCTGCTTCATCAGCTTCTCTCCGGTGTTCTGCACCGGAGAGTGACACTGAATGCAGGAAGTGATGTAACATACATCACTTCCTGCATTCGGGGACAGGAAGAGATCAAAGCGAAATCGAGTAATGATCTCCCTTTGATCTGCTGTTAGAGCGTCGCCGTGCCGGTCCCAGCCACACCGGCCACATCGGATCACGGACCGGCAGCGGCGACGAGGAGACGCCCTCCCGCTTCTAGCAACTTCCGTCCGGCCGTTCACAAACGGCCATGGACGGAAGGTGGTTAATAATTAGAGGCATGGCTTCTAAACACCAACAAAAATATTTAGTTTTCGATATAGTGACTAATGTCAGATTTCTACTACTAATCCCTCATCTGGGAGATTTCCCCCCATTTTGTGCCCCTGTGACTAAGGGGGAAAGAAAATCAGGGCAATGAGGGTCACCAGAAGAGAAAGAAACCTGACAGAAGATCCAACCCATTTTAATTTTACTCCGGGCCCACTCACACTGGTTCCGTTGCATTGCAATACGTTTTGCAACGGATGCTAACCTAAGGGCACCGAAAAATGAAAGGAGGTGAGCACTACTTTTTTTCAGCGCAACGGATCCAGTATACACTAGCCCCATTCATTTTTTGATGTACTTTCATTAGCATGCGTTGAAAAACTGATCACAAGGCAACAGATAGGAAGGAAGTCGAAAGGTACAACTGCAAGTCAACTGACCCTCAGTTGAATTGCGATTTCCTTTCCGATTTTCGTGTGAATGGACCCTCAAACACATATTATTGTCTCCTGCTGATATTGGAGAGATTTCCCACCACCCGCTGTCCTTGTGGGAGATGTCTTGCCCTTTTTCACTCTGAGATGGTGGCTGATCCTGGACCATCCAATACACGGTGCTTAGTTTGCATGCAAAAACTAGTTCTTAATGAATACTTAAAGCCCAACTCTGGGCGATGGGGGTCCCTAACTGATCATGTGACATGTGACATGCAGCCGCCTCCTCTCCTCCAGCTCTCCTCCAGTTGCAAGCGATCTTTTGAGATGCAGAGAGCACCAGATTTATCATTTCAAAGCCACTCTCTGCATGAATACACTATGAATAAAGAGCACTGTGGTGACCGACTCTCACGGGGTAGTGCCATGATGCCCTTCAGTGTAAGGACACCTGATTACGAAAAAGAAATGTGGAAGTGAATTTCAGACTAAAAGGTATTGCAGCCTTTGGTTGGTG